TCATTGATGTCAATCAACAATTTCCACTTTTTTAATAGAGCGCTGTCTGTGTAGAGCTAATATCTAAATCACAAACGGATAAACGGAGAAGAACGGGCAGTCGAGAATTACTGTTCATGAAAGTGTGTATAGAAATAGCCACTGTTAGATTATTGCTCATATCACTTCTTCTCGAGATAACATGACAATTGATCTGCAAATCAATTCCACAGGAGAGGGTCGAATGTTGTGCGCACCAAATGGTATGGGTTTAGCAAAGCAGTTTTTATAACACACCTTTTGCCACACTTTCCGCGACTGAGGATAAAAATAGTGTGATAATGTGTGCGGCAGCAAAAATGCAAATGAAGTACCAAATATAAATATCTCTTTTGATCTTGTCTGGCTTCAACGAAGAAGTCAGATGGGCAAATGAATGTGCATGAATCAAAATTTGAGACGATGTACGGGTTGATCTTTTGGTGGTATGTATATATTCTTTTTATCTTTCTTCGGTGCGTCTGTGAAAGAAAACAAATACTCTCTGCATTGACAAATTATTGATGAAAAGCAAGTGGTTTAACCGGTTCTTTGGAAGTGTTTTCGCGACGAATATAGACTTTGGTGAATTCAAGTTTTGTGTTAATGCCAGAAATTCTATATATGAGTGTATATTGCGACGGTGTGGTTATGTAACATACATATCTCAGAGTAAGAAATGGAATATCACAGTTGAATGTTGATTGAACTCTTCGTTTGTGATAACATATTGTTAATATTGGCTCGTTATCAATGCATTGTGAAATATATATAAACTGCGATGCATTTTGCAAAGTGGGCAAACGTTTTTACTCATACAATTGACGTGCAAAATAGTTTTTCACACTCTCAGGGTTAAGAATGTTTATAGTTAAAGTCTTGATAAATCCTCTTTGGTGAAACTGACGTTAATTCACTGTACGAACGTTATTTATTTTGTGCAATTGATAACGTGATTTCACGATGGATGCCACTCAATTGGATGGAAATACTTATGTTATGAATTAGTATGACAGGTTGATTATTATGGTATTCTTATTGCAATATAAGTATTGTTTCGTTAGGAATTAATGAAGCAGTCGTATTTGCGATGACACACAATGTCCGTTTAATGAAGGTGAAGACACGCAGTAGGTGAGCTCTGGGCTGCTTTAACATCAAGTCCATTTCCAATAAACACATTCGAAAGACTGTGTACACTTCTTATGCGCGTTGTTCATCAAATAAAAGCCTCTCCATTGAATGCTTGAACATAAATATACATATGAGGGTTTTTTTATGTGAATTCATCTCTTTTGGTTAAAGTGCATTTATGAAGAAGTTAATGTGTGGAGAGACAGAAATATGAATGAGAAAATAAATTAAGAAGAATAACTGAAGAAATATGGGTGGGCAAAAAATACGATAAGTTTGGCAAATGGAGTTTGCTCTCTTGCTGCTTACACAATGCACTTTTGCAGCAGTTGAGGAGATTAAAAAAATTGCAATCAGAGGAATGATGAAACATTCGCCATATTAACAGTTCACAATTGTTATTTGTTCCTTCATTCGGAGTGCTGCTGAGCATTTTTGTGAAATGTATTATGGCATTGTGTGAAAGTATACATAATTTTGGTGAAATTCCATTCTAAGGCGAAGAATTTCAGGAATACGCACGAAATTTCAAGAGTATATGATTCATGCGTACAATTATTTCGTGAAACTTGCATCAGTTCCACCAGCATTGAGCGTTACCATTGCGTTGTAATCCCAATTTTTGTTGCGCAAACCTTCAGTTCCTTTATGTGTGTCTTGTCTATGGTGATGTTCAGAAATTGTTCCATAAAGCTCTCTGGTAGTGATGAATTTTCATCTGTGACTTAATTTTCCATTACATTAGCTCTGAACGTTGCCTGTGGGGTAATTTTGATGGTCCTCTCCTGTGGGATCATTTAATTATTTTGGCTTCCACATGCAACCAGCAATGTCCTGTGGTTTTTAGCTCTGGCTTTTAATCTTTTCTCCAGGTTTATACCTTCGTATACTTTGAATCGATTTCTCACACACTCTTGAATTTAATGTTAAAGTGTAAGAAACAGTATTTTTTCTCACATGTCGTTCCTGAAGATCACATGTTTTTTTTCTGTATTTAATCTGTGCCAGGATATATTGTTGATTTTTCAGAAACACTCTACGTTTCTCATTTTCTATGATTGTTTTAGCTTATGGCATAAACTCAAAATGTACATTTGCGCTATTTGCGACCTTCAATGTTCAATCTTTGAACGATGCTAGTGGTCAAATATTGTCACTTTCGTCAGCGAATAAAGAAGGTTTTGGTGAAGAAATTTGTGTAGAAATGTCGAACATTATATTGCTGCATTGTGAAATGTTTGATTCGTTTCTGTGGATGAGTCAAGGAAGAGGTATTGCCGTGTAATTGATCCACCGCACCTCAATCGATGGAGTGTATGTTATTTCGAGTTTACATGATGGAATGATGATGTATAGTCGTGTAATAATCTTAGAGTGTAATGTATGAAATTTGCAGAAGTGAAGGCAAAATGAGGGATGTCTCCGAGTCAGGGTGATTTGCTTATGTGTGATATGATAGACTGAGCCCTTATATAATGTACACTGGGATGATATATTCAGCGTAACAATGTGAGGTGATAGTGTTTGCCAAAAAGCACTGCACAAAGTTATTCAATAAATATTTCAGACACACCGTAATTCTTGACGCAATGGCTCATGAGAGCTGATGAGGGAGAATTCATCTTTCCAATTATTAACTATGGTGCCTGGTGCACAGTGAAGGTTCCTGGGATGATGATGGGTGTAGAGAGACTCTCTTTGGCTCTTGCAAAAAGGCAGGGTGCGCGTGAATTGAAAATTCGCGGGAATATTGTGTGTGGGGAGCGAGACATCTCGTTTGCGATTCTCAACTTCTCTTTTCCCGAGTGTGTCGGCTTCCCCGAGAGCCATTGCCAACTCACTCAGAATTTCAGTGTGTGGTGCCGTACAGTTCTCGTCAGTCTCAATTGTGGCTTTGCCGGAGTCAGTTGCGCTTTTGCCTTTGCTGGGTGACAAAACTCAGTGGGGAGAGTGAGAGAGTTTGGCCTGTGGAAGGAAAGTTTCGAGTCAGACTGTGATTTTGGGATTTTTCTTGTGTACATGCAAGACTTCTTGGAGGAGTGTCTGGTTTGACCAGTGATGAGGAGAGACTCGCGAGTTGCAGACTCACATTCTGGAGCTCGTGCAATTTTCGTCAGCAATAATAGTGTGGCATATATATTGGGGAAGAGAAGAAAAATTCACGTTGAATCAATGGTGTGGTACATTCAATTGCATAATTGACTGAGAGACAGACGAGGAGAGGCAGCAATTGAATAATTGCACTTGGGTGTTTTATATGGACCATACTATTTTCAAATGAGTGTTTGTGCGACTTGGTGAATTTGTGTGGTTGGCGATGGAGGAAGAGTGTAAAATAAAATAAAACTCAACATCCACATTTAAATAGTATCGCCGTACCTCTGTATATGCTGCATTTATCTTGTGACTCAATTATTTTTATGCTACTGACTGTTAAATGCATTAGGCCCGCAGAGATAATGTGCTATCAATTATTTACGATGAAGCCTCTTGTGCATAAAAAACATTTACAATGAAATCAAAGTCACTGTACAATAATAAATATGAACAGGGTGTATCTTAGTGTGAGGTGCAAAAAGTATTCATCAGTGAAGAGGAAATAATAGCGACGTTGAGGACGAGAAGGGAATAAGAGGAGAAAAGAGAACTTTTTCATATCCTCGCAACTCTCAATGTCGGAAAGGAAAGGAAAAAAAAAATCATGAAAAATTGTTGATGCAGAAAAAACGTATTGAGATAATTTTGGAAGTTGATGAGCCTCTTATCAAATTTGTGCATGTATTGTGTTGAGATACGAAAATCAATTATATAATCGCGACGCGATCATCAGACACTCTCTTGCATCGAATCGAACGATACTGAAATCGTTTCGCGAGTTTTTGATTTTTATTATTCTTATGTATCTGTAATATAAATTACTTGGCTGAAGAACAGTGTCTGACAAGCGAAAAAAAAAGAAAGAGAAACAGTACAAGTATATAATAAAAGTTACGAGAACGCCTATTGATAAGTGTGTTTGGAGAGAGATTGAACATTCTCCAACAATTATCTCTCAGTTTGTCGTGCGAAGTCGACTTGAAACTCAGACAGTGTGAATATTGTGGTAGTCTTAAGAGAGGAAAAGGCACGAGGAGGAGAAAATTTTTCACTTGTGCCTATCCTGTGGAGAAAATAAAAGCTGGAGGAACACTTGGGAAGACGTTGAGGTGAAGAAGAGTGTGACCCAGAGACGAATTTTCATCGAATAAACATTTATTCCAAAACGGAAGGAGAAAGCCAGTGTGTGAGAAGGTCTTAAAATAGATCAACGAAGACGGCGACCAAGTGATTTTTCTGTGGATCTCATTCTGGACTAAAAAAATTGGAGTTTTTCCTCGACGTGGTGTGAGGAGGAAAAATTTCTATATTTAAACCGCGTGCACTTATTGCATTGGTGCATTAATATTGTACATCCACAGTGGAGCATCTTCGCACACTGACAACGCCTAAAAGTCGTCGGTGGTCGAGAGACGTGAAGAGAGAAAGAGAGAGAGAGAGAGACAGAGATCGTAGATGTGCATCAAAATATAAAGATGAAGAAGCTAGTCAGATGAGACGTAATTTACATGGGTGTTGTATAATCACTTGTTTTATTCGAACATAACAATAATATACAGTGCCATTATTGGCAAAATTGTGATCGACTTGCAAATTTGCACGTGAACAGAGAGCGACAGGAAGATTTTCAGACGAGAGTACAAAGAGAAAAAAAATTCATTTAAAAGAATTGTGTGAAATTTAACCACCACAGTAATGCAAAAAGAAGACAGCAACGTATAAAGAAGGAATATTTGTACATAAATTTGCAGTGGAATCGAACATGAAGATGAGATATTCTCCTGTGCGCAACTTGAGGCAAAACAGTCCACGGGTGTCGATCAGCAGCAGCAGCATCCGGAGAATCGGTGTCGCGGTGGTGAAGGTGTAAAGAAATTGGATGTACTCAAGAATTGTCGGCGAGAACGTGTCGAAGAGAAATCAGTTGAGAGCTGTAAATCAGTGCCGTTGTCGCAATTACGTAAAGAAGTGACTACATATCGCTCGTGTTCGGCAACGAAATTTGCCGGTGGTGAGCATCAGGAGAAGAATTTGCCCAAGGAAGTGGTGCAGGAGAGACAACAGAGGGCATACTCTGTGACTGAGAAACTGTTTATACCGATCAGTGCCATTTCACCGCGTCCAGAGTCTGCAACGCAGAAGATCTTCGTACCACGCACTGAAGACATGAATAAAGGATTCTTGATGTTCTCTGAGGAGGAACCTGGACTCACAAGTAAGTCTATTTTGTCAATGTACATTGTCGATTGTAGCCAAATCGCCGGTGTTTTGTGTGTATTTACACAAAATGGGGAATAAGGAAAAGTGCATTTTACATTCGACTACTTCTAAGTTGTTGAATTATTATTACATATTTTTGTGGGCCGCCACAAAAGGTATTCGTCATACGGAAAATATTGATTCAAGTTGACAAGTCTCCGAGACTGAACATGAGTCTGTTGCATAGGCATTATAAATGTTATCGGGAACTAAACAGGGCGATATCGGTGGAAATTAATGTTTTCACGAGATATGGGTAATGTACTTAATAACAGCACATATGTGTGTTTATTATTTTGTCGTGGAATTTTTTTTTCTTTGCCAGATTATCACGCTCTGACTTCATTTCCACTGACCGCCTTTTTTTCACTTCTTTGAAATGCTTTTCCCGACGCCATCATCATAGAGGAAAAGCCATATATTATTCACGAAGTGTATTTGTTTGAGATATAGCTCTTGAGGGAAGGAAGCAATTGCCGCTGAGAGAATTCGAAAGTGAAATTGTGTGGCCTGAGAAAAGTTGCTTGAGAACTGAAGGAAGGCATTTCGAGAAATATTTATGGGTATTTTTCATGATAGAGAAAGTATTGTTGACCACGTGATCGGGGATGGTATTTTCGGAGGCAGACACAATCGTGTTCACAATCAGATGATTTAATTTATGCGAATTCTACAGGGTGATGTTGAGGCAGTGGAATTTGATGTGGCATTTTTGGGGTTTAATCTGATTTGAGTAACTTAATTTGAGGTTCATTTTCGTTGGAAGATTTTACCCTTAACTTATAAAAGCACAACTTTTACTTTTCTTTTCTTTCCGGAAAACCCTGTCGTCGTATATTTTGAAATATATAAACGTTGTTTAAACATCCGACTCGAAATGACTGTGATTTGGACGGAACAATAAAGATCAATCTAATTAGTATTATGCAAATTGTTTACTCGCTGACTGTAAGATTGTCCATTTGGATTTTTCCTGTTTTGTCTTGTGGTCTCAGTTTTGTCCCAGTCGTCGGGAAATGCGCATTAAATGATATCCAATGAGATGCTCAGTGTTACATGATGGGTGGAATTATTCAATAGAGTCGAGATGCTATTCAATGGAATTTGCACGTGCTTTGCGGGCATATTCTTCATGGGCCGCCGTCGTAGTTGTGCAAATTGAGGGACGTTGAAACACCAACGCAATTGTATATTTGAGCTTACAATTAACATACGTGGTATTGTCACTGGAAATTGTGTGTAGTTGCTCTTCTCTGACGAGATTGTTGTTTTTTTTTTTCTTGTTGTTGGTTATGTCTGACGCCGGCTGAAGAGAGGCTACAATCGAATGAAAAGGCGATTTTTTCTTTTATGTTTCTGCTGTTCAAATATATGATAACAAACGTATACATTTCTCTGTGTTTTACAGTGTTGAAGGAAGAACCTGATGATTTGACGCATTTGGCCCCAACGGCCGGAGATGCATGTATTCCACTGGAGGAATCGACACCATTTTTCAGCTCATGTGACGTATTTGACGACCTAATCGACTATTGTTCACTCCTTCCGGACGACATAAACTCCCCACTGGATTCGCAATGTAGTGGGCAGAGCAAGCCCAATACAGATCCCTTCATTAACTATCGCGATGAGTCCAGTGAAACGAGTGGATCTCCGCATTTACTGTCACCTGGAGGGGTGTCCAAGGTGAGAGAGAAAGATTTCCAACACCTCAATAATTGTGCGCGATTAATTGAAAATTAATTTGTCTACAATTGCAAATGCGAATGAATTGATGAAATTACATTTGTTTGGGTGATTTACTGGCGAGGGTTAGTAGTTATTGGATTGAGGCTAATAATCTATTTTCGATGCTTTAGAAGAAATTATGAGCAATTGACATGAATTCTGTGAATGAGATAATATACACGGAAAATTGTCGTGGCAGTGATACTTTGCATACAAACTGCCAGGCCACTATCATCATGTGTAAATGCTGATTACTATTTCTACGATTATTTCCATTCTTCAAGTATCAACACCGCGAGCAATGAGAAAATTGAAAATATATAGTTCAAGCGAATGGAGAGTAAAACAGTCATGCTGATATTACGTTTCCACAGTTCTTACGACACACATGATGGGCGGGTGGGACAAAAAAAATGGGGGGAGAATCTTGAAAATCTTATCAATTCATTCAATGTAGACAAATCGATTTCAACATGTGCATTCACACTGAGAGTTGTGAAGAATACAAGGGGGAGAAAAATGTCTCTCGAGTGCTTTTTCCATACTTTTGAAATCTAATCCAAGGGAGTCCTCATCATTATCTGTCTTTTTTTTCTCTCTCTCTCTCCTTGCCTTGATTTAGAGTCCTGAAGCGAGTAGTTTGCCGTCGTTGTGCAGTCCAAATGGATCACTTCAAGATGACGAATTGGCATTTATGACCATGAGCATGGAGGATGATATTGATCTGTCCATGAGGGCGCCATACATCTCGATGAGTGAGGCTGATGACTTGCCTCTGTTGATATCTGAGGACCTCATGTGGGGTGCATTTCCAGAGGGCCTGAGTTTGCACAAGGACATGAAGGAGGGCATGTCCAAGGAGGCGAGCAATTATACACAACAGCCATCACAGATGAGCATGTCGCAGCAACAGCAGCAGCAGCAGAAGATGAGGTGTCGCGAGACACAATCAATATCGCAAGATCACCACTTGATTGAGAATTGCACAAATGTCAGGGGATCAGATCAAACGGACAGAGGCGGAGGAGGTGATGGATGCAACTTGAGTGCATCTGATATCATCAACTCATGCCCAGACGTTTTCACCAAGAACAGTGAGTATTGATAACACATGTATTTTTCACAGCGGCGCGAGAAAAAGAGTGATTATTATGACATACATAATTCACATGATATATTGAAGTCTGAAGCGATAAGACAATGAATTCCAGCATAATATGTCTTCGCGGAACATTTTTATTCTTAGATCACTTGGCGTCGTGGCTTTTTTTTTCTGCAATTATATAATCGTCCGATCTTGTTGACATTAAAATAATGAACTTATTTATAAATGTGGCTATGCCATCGGGTAAGAGAAGTATGCGCGATGTAAGGGGACAGAGGCGAGGAGGTGTAGAAAAAAATGGGGTAATAATGAGAGATTTTTTCTGAGAAAAGTATCACGTTTATCACCAAATATATTTTTTGCATGACTACAAGAGAGAGAGAGTGAGAAGTGAAAGAGGGAATTTCGTTGCTATTTCTTCTTCCACATCAGATGCGAATGGTCGTAGAAAATAATCCCCCCACGAGAGGAATTGGGTGAAATATTGTCATTATATTTCTCTTGGGATGAACTTTAGCAAGTTGTGGTCATTGAGAAAATTCTCGCATCCTTATGGAAAATGCTGTACTAATTTTTGTCAATTAATCAAACTTATTCTAGCGCCTTAGTCAAGATATAATGCGAAGTGTGTTGAAATTGCTGACACTAATTGTGCGACTCATGATCCACTTTCAGGTTCAGATCTTCAATCATGGCCACTCAGTGACTTCCTCCAATACGCCACCGCTTCTAATACAATTTCCCCCAAGTCTATAAATACACTGGATGCGGCTGGAGTGAGAGCTCTGCATCAGCAGCAGCAGGAGCAGTTTAAGATAAAGCTCGAACGTACAATGAGCAGTACGCACAAGCGCCCGTCGACGAATGTCCTTCCGCCAGTGGAGTTTAGCACGGCGAAGCGTGTCAAAAATGAATCAATTGCCGCAACGCCACAGTTGCTGCAGCAACTCATGGCACCGGCGGCTGTTCAGCCAAGATCGCGACCTACAAAGAGTATCGCGAGCGAGGATGGCAATTCTGCGCTGAATTGCAGGATTAGGGAAGCGAGTGGAGCGTGTGAGGAGAGTCGCGAGAGGAACAGCAGCTCGTGGAAGGGCAGCTCGAGTCAACAAGCGTCTCCGTCATCTTCCAATTCAGTCCTCATGAATCTTCTGGTCAGCGGATGTGATGTAAGTGCAGGGTACATTTGCCTGGTGCCAATGCGCCTGAAGAAGGCAGCGAAAGCTTAAGGACGATCCGTCAAGTCAAGTCAAATGTCTGTCGCTAGTGTTAAGATTCTGTAGTTTTAGGCGATCCGATTAGTGCATTGTGAGCACATAGTATATATCGTGTAGAAATGATAACAAATGATAGGTAGTCTTTTTTTATTGCAACTCTATCCCAGTTTAGATGTTAAGAGCAATAATATAGTTTCTACTGAGAAATTGTAAATGCATGAAGAGGTGCTCTGCAAGTGGGAAGCAATTCTGTGCAAGCATTGACTCACTGTTTCACCACTGGAGATTGTGAATCTTTTGGGGTGTGAAATGGCAATGTGTCTGCTGCGATTGCACTTTGCAGAGTGCGCCTTTGCGTCAAAGGTACAGCAAGAAGAATGTAAAAGACGGTCTGAATCTACTTCGTAAGTCATGAGACATACTTTAAAATATTCAAAGAGGAATGTAATGATACTTAGCGCATAGAGAGAATGTATTTTGAATATATATATATATAGAATTCACATAATGTGTTTATTTATGATAATACAATCGCATGAGAGATGGGATGTGTGGAGGCAAAAATGGGAAAAATATAACAGCGGTGTCGAGACAAAAATTGCATAATTAGCAACTGGTATAAAAAAAAACTTAACATGAAATTATGGAACCGCTTTAATATTTACTGTGATAGTGGTCCTAATTTTCTCATTAAAAAATTTTCTTTCAACGTTTTTGTGTCTCTGTAGAGGTGGCGTAATACGAGCGCCGATGGTACAAAAAAAAAAACAAATTATAAAGAAACAAGTAAAATTTAACTCTTTGAACATTGATACAGAAGTGAGGGAGATGGAGAAAAAAAATTGATGAAAAATACAATTAGAGAACTAGTGATATGTGAAGTCACATTTATAAAACTAGTAATGATTATAATAATACTAACTGAGTGCGGGAGGGAAGAAAGTTAAGAATACTGTATCAATTTAAATTCGATGTAATAATGTCGTCTAAAGAAAGAAATTTGTGTCACTTTCTGATGAGCTAAATTACCATAATTGAAGTGTTAGTGGTTGAATTGCATTGAAAGCTCTAATTCCGGAGGAGAGAGAGAGAGAGAATGGGAAGAGCAGATAAATGGAGCTTCAAAAGCGTGGAAATCTGCTTTGCTAACAAGTCTCGTTGAAGTGAATTCAAATGAGAGTCTTGTTAGAGCGCCGTCGAGGGAGAGTGCAAGGAAATATTGCCTCGAGGAGCACTTAGTACGATTCAAATTTCTTATCTACTTATCGGTGTTCTCTTTATATTTAAATTGATAACATAATTACAAACTAAATAGACGGAAAAGGGGTGGAGAAGAGTCTAATCTTAATTGTATGTTTAGTGAGTATAGTGATCAAACTTGTAAATAGCGGAGTAATGTAATTTCGTTTTTTGAAAGTATAATTAAAAAAAAACAACTGGAATAGTAATAGACTTATCTGTAAAACGACACAGAGAGACAAGATAATTGTGGAAAAATTTATTTGTACATAGTGTTTTTTGAAGCGTCATTATATTTATTGAAAGTGAAGAAAATTCGTTGATATTATTGTTTCTCTTTAAAGGAATGATGATGAACAAAAAAAAATGTAGATGCGCAATGAAACGAAATCGAGGCGTGAATTTTTTGTATAGCAAAAGTCCGATGTAGGATAAGGAGATTTACTAAACTGACATATAATTTTTATTACGAGAAAAAAAAGTGAGAGAGATTTCATTGTAGAGAGAAGAACGGCTAGTAAAACATATCTAATTTCATTCGCTGTTTCCACGAGAACATGGAACAAACAAACAAGATTTTACGGTCCATAGAAACAATAAGAGAATGTACAAAAAGATTTTTGTAAAATGTACAAGTTTTAGGGGAATTTGCATTACATCTCAGCAGGTTTTTTTTATTCACAGGTCATCAAAATAAGAGAGTATTGGAAATCGGACAAGACGGTATAACTTTTTCAATTTGGCTCTCTCAATTTACTTGGATTCTTTATGGGAAATCAATTTTCTTGACGATGCAACAGATACAGAAGAAAAAGAATGAAATATTGGAGTAAAGACTTGAAGGAAAGAACTGATTGTGAATAAAATTAAGGTTTTATAAGGCAAAAAAAAATGGAACAAATATTTAAATTTTAACTTTGTCAGAAAAGGAAATAATTAAAACATGTGAAATGATTCATTATATCTTTTGATAGAACAGGCACGAAAAAAACACACTTTACGTAACGAAATATCAGAATTTCTCAAACTTTTTTTGCCAATAGATGGAAGAAAAGAAAAAATAAAACATAGGTGAGAAACGATGGAGAATAAACAAATTCATACACTTCTAGCATTTAAATGTGAAGATATAAAAAGCAGAAAAAAAGATTAACGAAGTAACGAAATTTTAGACACTACATAAATATAAAAATATGATTCATTAATGGACAAAACACATGCAATAAAATAAATGATGAAACATTTACTGACTGTGTGTCTTATTTGATTGAATCTCTTTCGTCGTCCATGAGAAGGCGCACTTTCCAGCCCAGGCCCAAATGCTCATGAAACACGGAAAAGTTGTTGAAGACGATTTCTCCCCCACTCCCGCAGTTTGCCGTGGAGAGAGAAAAAGCCTCCGCGAGTCCAAACATCCTTCGTGCGCAAGTGAAAGCTGCGGTGCTTTCCCTTTCGAAATTTCCCCTAACTTCCTGAGAGCCAAACCGCTCGCAAGAGATCGAGAGTTGCACTTCTCCCGTCAATGGAAGCTTCGGAGAATTTTCTCCTTCCTTTCCAATCGACTGTGGACTTTCCCTCAAATGGTGAAAGTCGTGTGCAGAAAGAGAAAGCCGCCCAGTTGCTAATAATTCTGAAGAATTTCCCATTTTCTCAGTCCCTCAATTCTCCAGCTTCCGCGAAATCAATTTAAACCATTTGCATGATTTCCCTTTCCTAGCACGCGCGAGAGCAAATTTCGTCGCAAAATATCGTTCATCGACCTTTATAACTTCTCTATAAATACCCAGAGCGGACTTTTGATGATCTAATCAATGTAAAAACTCTGATAAGAGCCTGATACAGAGAGCTGTCTCAAGTTCAAGTTCTCTCTTTTTGCTGGCTCTCTTCCTACCGCAACCATTGCTAAACTCGCGATTTTGTCGGTTAATTGTTCAAGGAGTTTTACGGAAAATTTCTTTAATTATTCACCAAATCGCCATACAATCGAGAGGCGGAGGGAAAAACTCAATTTTCCTCGCTGAATCTACTTCGCGTCTTCGCAACTTTTCCGTGGAAATCATCTTCAAACAGTGCGATGGAGAGAGATTCAATTAAACAGGACGCTGATTTTCGTGGGAATTTTAATTCCCTCCCTAATATATTTCTCAAAGGAGTGCCGAAGAAGCACTCTTATGGTTGTTCTGCATAATTTGTGTAAAATTTGTTTGGAAGCATTTTGTAAGAGTTTAATTTTCAGACGTCAAACCATTATTTGTTAATTAATTTGCATTATTACCCTTGAATTTTGTATTTTGTGCTATATTGTAATCATAAAGATAGACGTGGTTGTATTGTTGTACAAATTTTTAGGCAGTTTATGAGGTTTTTAAGTCAAATGTATAAAGAAAGAAGTCATTTTTACAGTGCCAATAGAAGAACAGAGAAATGAAATTTTAAATTGTTTTGACGAGAATCTCAGGGTTGATTCAGAAAGAGATTTAATGTTATTGAAAAAGATATTTTTTTAAATTATATACATAGGCTCATATTACATTTACATGTATGAAGAATTTGTGATGATATGCAAAAGGAAAAGGAAAATTCCTACTCACATGAAAGCTCTTTGAATCGCGTTTGAGTGCTTTCACACGGTAAAATGGTTTTGATGGAATTTTCACGAGTATTTTCGCAAAAATTTACGCCTCAAATGAGTATTTATAAATTATTCTGTTGAAAAGATTTCCTTTCGCACATCTTCATCGACATTTGACTTGACTCGGGCGCGGAAAAGATTTTCTAATGAAAGTATCTCACGAAGCGCAATTAAAGGTTTCTTCTTCTCTCTCTGCACAGTCATCCGTGTCATCGGGCGGACGGAGAGAGATGGACATGGACGTGGAGATGAGCTCCAAGGAATCCGCGGGCTCAGCGACGTCAGGCTCTGGCGTGAGAGTGTCAAATCTGCGCGAGATGAGGCACGTGATGACGAATGTGTCGAATCCAATGATCGGCGGAGGATCCTTCGGCGCTTCGCATTCCTGTAGGGCTTCTTCTGGCCAGCGGTATAAGCCGAGCGATGAGGACGTCGTGGCGCTGGAGAGTCTGATGACACCGGCAGACATGGAGATCTGGCGCACTCTTCAGGCCAGCGTGCACGAGAAGAGGGCCGCCATGGTGCGCAAGAACTCCTTCTCGACTCTCATCGACTCGGACAACGTGGCGATTCCGTCGCTTCTGCTGGAGCTCAGCGACCAGGACTACGAGATGAACGCTCCCATCAGTGAGTTCATGCTGCAGGGCGCTGACCTCATCAAGGCGCTGGATGATCCCAACAGTCAGATGACCTAAAGGAGGCCGTGACGCAGTCCAGGAGACGCACTCCACGGCCGACGCCGGGCGGATGGCGAGCGCGCAGCGATCTGCACACTGTACAAAGGATCATTATTGCATTTAGACGACACAGACGAGGGATCATCAGCACTTCACCTATTTCCACGGTGCGAAAGTACACACGAAACTCTTCTATGATGAACTACTATTTAATTGATCATGAAAATTAGTTGATAGATTTTTTGGTGTTGGATATTCTAGAGATCGACCATAACTTTTTGTTTCTTTTATTAATCATTCTGTGTAGACTTTTGCTAGACATCTTTTATACACCGTACATTTGTAATATTTTTACTTGACTACAAAAAATATATGCAACATTTCTCTGTATATGTACGTTAGCTATTAGATGCAACTGGTAGATTTTTAGAAATAGGAGGAAAACGACGATTTTTATTAATATAAAATACAAAAAAGTGTAAACATATACATATATTGGCTAATATAATAAAATTGTGTATTGGTTTAGTGATTAATTCGGCTGTGAGTTTATTTTGGCAGCGCTGACTTTTGAGGTATTTCGCTCGCACGACCATCAAGTGATCAGAGTCAAAACATTGAGAAGTCGCTGGGGAATTCGGTTCCTTGCCTAAATGTGCCGCTGTGTTGCCCATGAGCGATTGATAATTACGTATAATTAACTCGTGCACCCATTAAGAGACAGTCCAATTGATTGATCTCTTCTATGGTGAACAATAATTTACTCATCAGTCGAATTGAAATTTTTTCCACCGAGCAAAATGGACACGGACTTTGAGAAGAAGCTCTACGCCTATGGACTGAACACGGCCACAGTGGATTACCTGAAAGGTGGGTGAGAAATTGATTTTATTCGTGGTGAAATCGTGAAAATCTCTCATGAATATTCGATGGCCGGAAAGGTGAGGGAATAGATCGATTTGTGTTCTTCGAGATTGAGCCGCTTCATCTGCAGAGAACCCCCATTAGACTTCGGGATCAGCTCTTGATTTGTCGCATGATTAGACTGGCCAAGGAAAAGGTGAGTGTTGAAAAACCCTTCAAAAAGTTTCCCGAACATTTTTGTTTTTCTTGCAAATTATGGTGGATTTTAACTTCGCAGGCTCATCGTGATGATTATCATCAGACGCCGAGTTTGTTCAAGGATTTGTAAATCATATTATGGCTAATTTAATGCAAAAATATTGATATTCACATTGATTTTTGCTTTAATTGGAAGTTTTTTCTTTCCAAATCCAGTGCAGTGAAGACACATTTAGTTGAGACACCGTTCCTTTTAATTTAAAAGAAATTCTACCTTGTATAACAGTCTGCGCCTCAATCTTATTCGCTTCACAGTGTATTTTTATGATTAGGGTTTTAAAAATTTGTGAAATATATGTACAAATCAATTGAATAATTTATGAAGTAACATTCTTTTAAAGTAATCTTTGATTTTGTGGATCTCTTTTAGAATATTCCAAGATTTTTGAAATAATTAAAATTTTGTTGATTGAAAATTTGTGAAATATTTTGTTGAAATTTCACTGAACAAACACCTTTATCAAAGTGACAGACGAGACGAAGTGTTGTGTTTTTGGTGGATCAAAACAAATGGCATAAATGTGTTATTTCTCATCAATAAATGGAGGAGAAATTAGAGGCTTATCGGAGAAAGAAGCGTCGTGAGGAAGCAGTTAAGGGTTTCAAGGAAAAGCTGGTGAAAATGGTGTCTTTCCAGCAAATTCGAGTGGATTCGCCGAGCGATGAAACCACAGAGAAAGCAGCTGTTCATGTGTCCGTTGAAGCGGTGAGATAAAATATTTTCCACTATGATAACAACATAAATGAACTACTTTGCTGATCCCTTTAGCCAGAAGACGGAATCGGCGGCGGAAGTGACATTGAAAGCAATGCTGACGCGTCTTCCTTGACGTCAGAGACATCTGACTTGGCACTGGGAGCCCCCAAAAGAACAGCCTTCACGTACTTCGTCTACGTGATCTACTTCCTCCTCTGGGCCACCTGCTATGCAATTGCCATCGAGCTGCAATTCGGCGTGGTCTTCTTCCTCTTCTCGGCCCTCGCAGCAGTGTACTTCAACACCCGGACGAGGCCCAAGAAGCCAGGAGAGATCAGCGCCTACAGTGTCTTCAATAAGGACTGCCACGCCATCGACGGCACGCTCAAGGCGGAACAGTTCGAGGCTGAGTTGCGCTACGCCGCGGTCAAGTAGAGATTTGGCTGTGATAATGCATAACGAAGATAAGATAGGGTGCCCAGAAATTTCAGCTGATCAGGGAAACCCTTATCTTTAATTGTGAAATATTCATAAATTTGTGTGGGAAGTGTTGGGAAAGATTTGTATTTCCTGAAATTTCCATACTTTTGGAAATAAAATAAAAATCAATATTTTAATAAGAAAAGCCGGTTTTTGCTCATATTTTGCATGGGAAAATTGAGGATTGCTAAAACTAGAAGTTCTTGCTTGAAATAATTTTTATTAAATCTCTGAGAAACTTACTTGAAACAAAACAGTTAATGGACCAAATGAAATCTTCATTTTTGTGAGCTTTCAACTTTCACGAATCTCACTTCCCTGTTCTCATCATCAATGTGCATACATAATGTAATTTAAAGTTATAAAAAAGTTCACCTAACAAAAAATATACAGACTTTTTTGTATCTATCTACAGGACTTTATAATTGAGTGTTTTTTTCATTAATCCGAGAGAATCAATCAGTATAGACACAATGAGCCGGAATCTTTGTTCCACGGCAATTCATTTTTTTTTTCTTTTACAGACAACCTATGAAGCGATCACCTAAAATTTCCACAAATTCACATTTAAAATTGCATGTGCCCTTCCAGTGACATTCTCTGTGGACTAGTGTATATTCCTCCTGTTTTCTGTCTTTACAAAGACTAAACACACTCTTCCGATTCATCGCTAAATTACAATATTTATTTACACCTATCTGTCACTTCTTTCACGTTATATCTAATAGAGTATATAACTCATTTTGGTATTTCTTTCTTTACTTTTCGACACTCCATGTGATAATAAATTATCAGTCGAGACTAGTTTAAGGCTTTGTGAAATTTTGTGTCTTCAGTTTTTGGTTATCATCTTCACCTAAATTACATATTCTACAGTAATTCGCAAAAGTAGTAACATCTTTTTTTGTGATTTTGCAGTGCAATAACAGTTTCGCGCGCAAAATGAATCTACCAAACATTGAGTAAAGAGATAAAGGAATGTTTTCAGAGGATTAGAGTTGTAAAACATAGTTATTTTCTGCTGAAGAGTCTTGAGAGAAAAGTGCTTTTTTTGTCTTAAAAACTATCTGTTTGTTCACTTTGGGAACAAATACATGTTGATGTGCATAAACCCTTTATAAAAGATATATTTTTTGTCAAATTTTTCAAATTGTTAACATCTTAAGATTCACGCGAAAAATCTGCATTTCACTGCTGAATTGGAGTGCTCTTATACATTGACATTTTACAAATTAGTTATACAACAATCTCAAAGATACATCCACTTGTCTTGGATTCCTCCGGCAAAATATACTCTGTTGGGGTAGCATCGGGTGTGGATCCTCCGCCACGCGGTCCGTCGCTCAGATGTAAAAGTCCGACTCGATGAGCTGCTGGTGGGGCGTGAGGAGAGCGGGGGCCGGATGCTAGCACTTTGGCAGGAAGGTCTTCCGGTTGGGCAAGAGGCAGAGAATGCTCAGGGCCATGACCATGTGCCACACGGAGTGCACGATGTGGTAGTTCTGGCGCGTCTGCAGGAAGGCGTAGCACACCAGACCCACCATCACCAGCACTGCCCCCAGAGGCATGCAGATGACTAGGTAGTTGCGCGCCGGGAACCACTTCCTCGTCTTGCGGCATCGCAGTCCCCAGCTGGCGCTGATGAGGCAGATGCCCGTGAGCGCCGGAGCCAGGAAGACCCACAGTGACTGCTTGTTGAGTTCCGTGCCGAAGGCGAGCAGGATGGCGCCCAGCATGTGCAGCAGTGACACGAAGGTCTGCCGCACGTGAGCCATGGCGATGAGGGTGACCCAGATCGCCAGGAGGCCGCAGTAGAAGTCGCAGAACTGTAGCACACCAATCTTCACCAGGCAGAAGCTGTACTCATCCTCGCCCGAGTCGCAGGCGTGATAGAATGTGGAGAAGAACATGGCGAAGAAGTAGATGACCGCTTCTGTGTAGTACTTCCTGCGCACAGCGAAGTAGATGCTGGGAATGAAGAGGAGATTGCTCAGGGTGAGCAGCAGCGAAGCCAGCAGAATGGACATGGATGAGGGCACTTGGCTGTCCTCGGTGCAGTCCCAGCCGCGGTAGCCCTTGATGCAGAGGCAGGTTGAGAAGACGAACCCGCCCGACATGTAGTGATAGCAGCGTCCGTAGCGTCCACAACGACCGGCGACGCACGGACTGGATGAGATGGTGAAGAGAACGCTGGCATTGCAGGAAGCATTGTCAATCACGATCTGTTCAGTGGCATACTTGTGGTGAAGCTCAAACTGTCGTGACATTTCCTGAGAAATACAAATTTGTTTTAGTCGAAGGCAAATTTGATTCACGGAATCCTTACCTGATATTTCGGTGTGCACTTGGCGTCCATTAAGCACTCCTTGATCTTCAGTGTCTCAGTTTCATTTAGCTCTGCTGAACATGTTTCGCTAATGAGGCAATTGTGATAGAAGTCCTTTCTCTGAGCACAAGCACAGGGCGCTTGCATCTGGCCAAGTAAGTCTCTATGGGTCCTGACGAAGTCTTTCACACTGTCGATGATGGTTGTGCGAGCGGCCGTCTCAGCACCATGACAAAATAGCCCTAAAGTCACGTGCCAGTTCCCTGACTCAGGGAAGGGCACATGAACGAGTCCAGTACTCGTGTCTGCATCTGTATTATTGACTATGATGGCTGCTGGGAAGACGCTGCGACCGTAGATGCACTTGTCTGGCCACGTGGGCACCCCAGGAACTCCCAAATGCATGCACACAATAATGGTCTGATTGCTGCGCACGCCATTCGTCATTTTTGCGGCATCTTCCGCCGAGGTGTCCACGAGTTTCTGGGCAAAGAGAGGCGCACTTTCAGTGACAGAAAGCGCGGCGCTCTGATCCACGGCATTTCCTCGAATGTCCTGCTTCATGGATATGGCGAAGCTGAGTGTGCCTCCAATATCATACACATCGCCCACGTCAAATTTGAAGAGCACCGGAGTTCCGGCGGTCAGATTGAGGCTGGCGGGCACTGTGCCATTGATGTCAGGCAGGAGATCATAGTCAAACATGAAGAACTCCCTGGAAACATCAACTCAGTTAATTTTTGATAAAGTTGAGGCAAAGAGGATTTGAACTTTACTGCAAGTTTTGCGCTGATTCGCTTTCATTCCTCTTTCTCTTGCTTGTGCCAAGTTCATTAATGTTTAATTCAGACGTGGCGAAAATGTGAATTTCAAATGTGAATAAGGGTAAAAAAAATGAATTGAACGGACTTAAATACGAGTTTTGCTCTATAATTTCACTCAAATTCGATTTGCTTTTCATGTTTCCGAATTCATGTCTACTTAAAAATTTAATTGCCAAGTCAAATAATTGCATTGATATTTTGTGCAGAATTTCATATTAAAACTTCTCGAATTTCATTGACTTTTTGACTACAATTGTGAATGTTTTGTCAACTCGTTTAATTCACAATTAAAATTTTATTATGCTAATTTCGTTTTTTTTTTCAAACAATGTAGTTTTATCAGCAAAATGTTATGTTTTGTGCAACATTCTTCGTCATATAATAATGTGAACAAAGTGTTGGGCTATTGAGTGATTTCTTAGGTTCAATCCTCACCTGTAGGTCTGCCTAAGTAGTGGATAGGAGTCATAGGAGACTACTTTGTGATCTGGAGGCAGAGAAACTTCTGTGGTGTGAAATACTGGCATTATTGTGAATTCCACATCATAGACAGCAGCCTCAGCGTTGTCTTGAGATGAGTTTGCACTGTCTGAGAAGCTGATGTCTACGTAGTGCCATTCGTTCTCCTGCGCATGGAACTGCACAAGTTGAGCACTTGTTTCATTCACCAGGATAATGTCCGAGTGCAGATAGCTGTGAGCACTGGGCAGAGCCTGGGAATTGACGCTCACAATCACTTCCGGACATTCTGAGCATGGCTTCACTATGACAATCTGGAGTGTGATGGACACGACTTCACGCGGCACAAAGAACCTGTACGTGAGTGGTGAACTGAAGTTCGTCAGCAAAACGTCCTGCTGAACCACATTTTCACTCAATGACTGCGGATTGGTTTCAATCACTGACATCTCGGACAGAAGCTGCGTTTCGCACGATGGCGAGAGTCCTGCAGAGGACAAAAATGGTCATTAAGAGCGCATGAAGAGGGATATTAGGGGCTCACCTTGCTGCTCAATGCGATCATTGTTGGGATCTGTCCAACTGATGAAAGCCACCGCAAACCAATTTCCCGGCTGCGGACCCTCCACGTTGAGCCGTTTCGTGGTACTGTCGGATTTGAATTGCAAATCGTATATCTGGAATCTGCAATAGATAGAGAAGCCACTGAATAATTAAATGCTCACACATTTGCCACATTAATGGCTAAGTTGAGTTAGCGAGGACTCCCGTAGCTCCTTCAGACTACACATTTATTAACTTCCACGGAGAAATTCATTTCCACACCCTTGGCATCATTGTGAAAGTTTCCGGGTGTGCTGAGCGAGGCAACAGTTTTTCCTGAGCGCAAGACACCAGCGATGGAGTGTTTGAGCAAACATTTGAGAAATTAGCATTCATTAAAAAGCGTCTGTCCTGCCTGGTGGGTATTGTCTCATCGCAAACACCCATTCTGGGTGTAATGAAAAATATTCCAACTTAAGACATGGTAAACTTCCACTACTTCGCATCAAAGTATTTCTTTTTACTAAATTGCAACAAAACGGACGACTGAGAGACGAAGTTCGTATACTATAATTCTAATTTGAAATGTGAATTATCAATTAACACCCTCTTATTCCGAAGTATCAAAAATGTTATTACAAAACCGAGCTGATTCGTATGCGATTGTCGAAAGCGTCAGAATCAAAGAGCGACGCGTCTTGGGTGAAATACAATTATTGTTTGCTAAAGTTACTCTTCTATTTTTCCCGCTGTTTCATTTCCACTAATTGGACTTTAGAATTCCCTCTTATCTGCACAAGTTGGAGGGCAATAAAAGGCAATGGATGGAAAGGGAATGAAATTTTTGGTAAGCAACTCTCATATTCATTGAGAAGTTTCCACAAGTGCTTCAATTGTGCCGAAATTCTTTATAGGAATACTTAAAGAGTTACCCGTGGTGGCAGAGGGCAGAAATGCTTCCTCAAGATGCCGGATCTATGTCAGTTGCCCAACAACTTGTACATGATTTTCCACAGAGACTCCATATTGTGGCTCTGTGATATGGAGCATATGTGAAGTGCTGGGTGAAACCCCATGAGAGTACTGAAACCTCAAACACACCAAATAATAATTTTAAGCAGGCATCGCAACAACTGCTCACGTGAGCTCTGCATGCTAAAAATTCTGCATCTTATGAATATGTGCGATGCTCAAGTTTCTTGTCTGCATTGAATTATTTCTTATCTCCGCAACTTGTTTGCGGGTATTTTAGAAAGAAAGAATTATTTTCACAACTTGATAAATTAATTAAATAAAACGCACACACTCTCTCTATCCTTTCTAAAAACTTAAGTCGTTTCCTATTACAGGATTTTTAAATCAATGCACAATTTAATCTTGTTTTTTTCATATAAGAAGATAACATAACGTCAATAAAGTGGGTTTTAAAGTGTAAGGCAAACAAGAAAATTTTATACACAGATGTGACATAAGTAGAAGAAAAGCTTTTCACCTTTGGTCAGCGCTTAGGAAGTGTCGAGGAAATGTGATATTTTCCGGACTTATAACAGGATAGCTTCCAGCCTTTAGATGTAGCGTCACATCTCTCTCAGGACACACTCTTTCTGCAAAAAGTTAATCAATATTAATCTTCTCAACTGACTCACAGAGAGGATGTGGGGAAGCTCGGGAGTCTTATACACTCACGGAAGGCACTTTTGGATTCCTCGAACGCCTTAAAACTAAACATCGCCGTGCGTGTGTCCTGCGGCACTCGGAAGTGTAGGATGGAGACATCCTTGTACGCCGTGTACTTGAGCAGAGTGTTGGAGGGCAGGCGAACGAGGGGAGTTTGACCGGGGCCGGCCATTGTTGCGGGTCCATCGACAATATTTGCCACCACAGATGCCTGGTACGTGTTGATGAGAGTGAGCAGTCCCATAATCCCCAGGACTCGCATTTTATTTCCCCACTCAATTGGCGACATTGGTTTTTCAGCACTTCTGGTCACCTCTGTTGCCATTTTTCGCCTTCGCCACCCGCACACCCTCGTTCATGAACTTCCGGTTGCTCTTTTGTTAACTCGTCTCGTTTCGAGAACTCTTATGCACTGCACCGAAACTCACTCAAATGCATACCATTTACAGCCACGCCGTCGTCTGCTGATACTCCATACAAAGAGTCCAGCCGAGTCCGAGAAAATGAAAATCCGTGTGAGCGAGAGTGTGAAAAATTGTATGAATCATGTGTCACACTAGAGCGCAGCCAGGATTGACGAGAGAGCCAGAGATTGTTGTTGAAGTCGTAAATGGTGTGCGGAAAATTGTGCAGATTATTGCAAACTGAAAAGAGAGGAAAACAATGTGAGGCAATTAATAAGAGATCATTGAAAAAATTCACACTATTTCAGTATCAAAGGCTTAGAAGGGAATTTTAATTGAATCTTCTGCCAATGCTTCGACACACACACAAATACACAGCGAGATGAGGGAAAACCAAAAGGAGGAGCAACTCAAGAAAGTTTCTTTTCAGGCCGACTGTGGCTGAGAAACTTTTCACCCGCACCATCAAGAACTCTTGTCTGTTCGCAGTGATAAAATTTAATTAACCACCTTTCTTTAGGCGAACCTCCCTATAAATGTATAGTGTCGAACCACACGCTCCATTTTCGCTAAAATTCTTCTTCAATAGTTCCATGACTTGAAAATTCTTGGAATGTTTGGCTCACTCGCGAGATGAGCAAAAAGTTTTTCGCGACTCACCCGCACATTCCCATCCAGCTTAAGTGAGTTGAGTTACTTTGGCCACAACCATTGAGGAGGAATTCCCAAAATTTCTATCTATAATTCTACAAGTTCTGCCACAAGACTATGAATTTTTATGGAAGCAATCAACAAATGGAAATTTTATAACTGCACTGCTGCTTATGGGGGAGAATTTTTATTATTTTTTCCAAGGAAAAAGCAGTAGATAAAGTTCTGAGAAATGTTTCTGATACTCTAATGCCCAATACGGGATACAATTATGATAAACATCGAATATTCATTAGATAAGGAGACTGTTTTAATTTAAATTTCAGTGTTCTGATGGAGAAGGATTTATACGATAAAATTTTCATTTTCAATTTCTCGCCAAACAACAAAGTCCAAAATCCTTTCAGGTAAATTGAACTTTTGCTCATCCTCTCTTCAATTACGCTGTTGCAGAATTTACGATCTCTACATCGATTCCTCGTGTGAATACATTTTACGATGTTGTTGAAAAATGCAACTAAACGCTAGCATAAATCGATAGGGCCTACAAAATATTACAAAGTGCTAGATTATTCTATTCTTTTTGTAAATTTTTAAGTGTTCATTCTAGTTTTAGAAATAGTTAACACAAAATCCCGATTGTTCAGCTCACAGTTAAAGCGAAAGCTCTTCTTGTAGTCTATAAAAGCGTCAATATTGATTGAAACATAAAAAAGTACTGAATGAAAAACACTATCATGAAAAATATATCTGCTAATGTATTTTCACTGTCGCGTCATTGGCATTGTTTTTGCAAAAGTTCTTTTTTTCATTCACATATGTTACGACTTTCGTTGAAATGGAATAATTGGACAAAAACAGGCTATTTTCATCCAATGCTCAATTAGCAGTTAAATTTATGCCACAGGGAAAATTCCATATCAGCTTTTATTGTATTTATTATTCACATTTATACATTTATCTGGATTTTATTTTTGGTCTCAACTTTTATGCTTTTTATTATAAGTTTTAATTACGCGAACGGATATTAAGTAATCCTACAAAAATCGCATTCTATTCATTATTTGCCGTATTTTATTTTAAAATTGTCATTTAAAGCCCAGTTATGTGAAATAGTTATTCGATTCTGTGGCTTTGTGGGTGAATTTTCACACCAGAAAGAAGCACTTGTCGTGTTTGTGCAAAAACATATGCAGTGAAATCGAAATAAAATACCATTTATCATCGGCTGGACTTTTGTATTCTGGAAGAGTTCGATTTTTGATGTTATCAAATGAAAAGTAACTGTGCAAGAAGCGAAGAAACTTTCTGTACAACATAAGAAAACTTGTAGCAATCCCTTTCTTTTCAGCTCCCGTTCCTGACTTATTGGGCAGAAAACTTTTATTCGTTAACCAATTTTTGATCCAAAAGACGAAGTGAAAGATTTGCCGGACGGAAAGTTTGCGAAAAAACATCTTGTTGATGAAATTACGCAATAGATGACAAATTATTCATCTCACAGAAAAGTAGTCATCCCGTTTGCTCAATTGTCGAATATTTGATAAGAGAATATATTCCACTGATAAAACGAGGTATTATTCACTTACTTTTCGTGCGTGTTGGTAAGTAAATTCTTGTGGTTGATAAGATAAAGTGAATGAATTGAATAGGATGATTTGGGAATGAAAGTGGCAGCTTTCATTGTTGATATTTAATCCCCAAATGCGGTATTGTTCTCACTGAGTAGCACAGCAATAAATGAATCTTTAGTCCCCCTTAATACCCCATCAAATGATTAAATCACATTAAATAGTCACTGTTTGTGCATTAAAACATTCCTGTCGTATGACAAAATTAATCACTTCCACCACTTGACCAAATCACTGTGAGTTCAAGAGGAGAGCACATTTAAATTGCATTTGAAATCGCTCGATAAGTCTTATGAAGTGAACTTTTGAGAATCACAGACAAGAGGCTACTGTGCAAATAAACTTATTAAATAACAGCTGTACAATCGATTCTATCACATCGAAAGCCAAACGTCGACTAATTCGATGGAGCATGAAGGCAGTCGGAGTGTAGTAGTTTGTGAGATATCAGAGCAATGTATTTTGGTTCAGTTCCAACTTGATAAGAGAGGTTCAGATAATTCTGAAAGAGTTTTTCTGGCCTAAAGTGGCCATTAAACAGCAATCAGCTTGTTTGAGTTGTTTGAAGAGGATTTCTGAGGAGAGTCTGAGATTTTCTGAGAAATGCTCCCTTTTTTGTATTCAGTGAATTAGTTCTGTGAATGAGCAAATGCTATTAACCCTTCTCGAGATATAACGAGAAAGGAAAACTGTGTCGGTAGTGCGAGGGGGTGATCCGGCCGGGAAGTCAAAAGATGACCCAGAGTGGTGATAAAGCTATCGCTGTGTAGTGGGATGCGCTGTAGAAGTGCTAAACGCCACATGTGATGATTACGACGTTAATTTGTTGAACACTCCACACTGAATTTATTGATAAATTGCCCGAATGACGTCACAGTATCTCACAGCGAACGCCACAATTCTTGTCACCACGCTAGTTAAGAATAACCCATGTTACTCACACTTTAAGTGCTCTAATCTAGCGAGTGCAATGAGATTTCTGACCGCCGTAACATCTCACTGTAGCACTAATTAATTGGCCAATGACCTGCATTGTGCCTCATATTTTTCTAGCACTTCTTATGCAAGTCACAAAACGTACGGCAATTTCAACACACTGACGGCGGTGGATGGAAATTAACATGATTTCTTTCCGCCAATTCTCATACAAAATCGCACGGAAGTTTTGTCGAATACACCTTGAACGATTTATAATGGTAATGCCTTAGGCTTGGCACTCCATTCGGCAAATTGTAAGCTCAATTGCGCACTGAGGTGAGAATTTAAGTGCACGTCAAGTCTTTTCTGCTCACCTCTTCAAACACAGAACAATATACACTTCTTGTAAAGCGAGTATTTGTACATCAGGGATTCTTAAGAAGAAATCAGCATGTTTTCTGAAGTGAAAGTGATTTTATTGTTGTGCAAAATATGAAGCACATGAGAGAAATGAGCAATAAGTGAAAATCCATATCATCAACTTGGAAAATTCAGTAATCACCTTCGGGAACCTCTTAACGCTGTGCTAAATGTCCTTATATCTCATTAATTTTTTGGCTCTCTTTTCCTCCTTTTCATCCTCCTCCTGGTTTTTATAGAACTGAACTTCAAAAGAATTTGAACACTTTAATGTAACTTGACAAGATAATGTATGATTAATTATACTGAATAGATTCGAATGCAATCACAAATTTGTGCAGTAATAAATGCTGCATGGCATACAGTGAATATGCAGTCAGGTTTTCATGAATAATAAGTTTCTGGCGTTTCTTTTAAAAAATCATGATGTTGGTATGAATATGCATGCTTCGAAGCATGTCTGGGGAGATGAATAATTGAAAGTGTTAAAAGCAAATGAACTTTGGGGAAGAAGATTTTTATTGGGTTTATCTTGGGCTCATTAATATGCAAAATTTGAAGAAGGAAAATATGAATTGACGTTCCACGAATTTTACGTTTCGTTTAAATTAATTATAAAGTGATGTTTATACGGGTTCAATTGTATTCAAACCTTTCAAATCAGAATACAGAATCAGATAACATTGAAAGAAAATTTAATTCTGTAGACTCACTTGTAGAAGTGAACAAGCTTTAAAGCTCCCTGAGTTTTACTAAAAATTTAATACCTAGCAGAAACATGTTTTCATTTAAGTTTTGCTTTCCTTTCCGTTCAAAGGTTGTGATGAACAGTAAAGCAATTATATAAAATCAATAAATAAGAGTTTGTTTGGTCTTCAGAATTGTTCATCATATACTCAAAGAAGCATCTTTGACATTTTGTGTATTACGATTTCAAAGTGGAGTTTGAGACTTACAAACTGATATCAGTGTGTATGTTCTTACACTTAGATAGATCAACAAACGGTGTGTAGTGTACTTTAAAGCATCTACTATTCTCGCCTTTCTCTCACAACACTCTGGCTTTGTTGTTCACGTTTGACTTCAGGAAAAGTCCCCATAAATACACAGTCGAGAAATTGCTCAAGACATGAATTCAGCGGGGTGAAAAAATTATGAGAGAAGGCGCCAAATGCAGAAGGAAGTTTAGAGAGATGAACCAAATTCAAGAGGATACTGCCGGGATACACAATGGCTTGGAAAATATGTCAAAATCATACACCATTTGAGATTCCACTAGTTATAAATCTTTTTGCCGCCATTCAAAGGAATCATCACACGATTGCTCATTTATCAGCCAAGGCATTTTTTTCCTGCTTTTGCCATCATGTGCACTATCTTGGGGAAAATTTGTGGGAAAATAATGCTTATTGTGTATTCGTTGGAATGCTGAGAAAGGAGGCGTTTTCGTGAAGTTAACATCACCATCAACCATAAAGGATATCGATTTCTGAGGCGTGAATTGCTTAAAGGATTTCAACACATGGATTTATCACTTTAAGTGGGGATTTCTTATGGATTTACTCACGACAGCAAATCCCTTCTGAAGGAGAAATCCTTTCTATTTACCACTTTTTCAGCTACTTCGCATGTTCGCACTATATGAAATTTGTACATGATACAGAAAGGGGTAAGTTTTAATTTTGATTAAAGGATGTAAAGACACATATTAGGAAAGCAATTTACGGTATATTCATGGGAAATATACGGTATGTAGTATGAAAACTTTGGAATGCGAGACAAGTCAGTGACAAGAGCAAACTGTGACGCCCGTTTTCGTGTAGTTATGGATGCAGTCGTCGAGAGCAAGCAAAGTGGCATCAAGAGGATTTATTGATGTGGACGTGGGTGTGATTTCTGGGCAAATTGCTGGAAAGCGGAATGCTGTGGAGGAATGTCTGCAATGACTGAGTGCCATGGAAGGAAGGCGCTTTGGCAGAGCAATGAAATGTAAGTTAAACAAAAGTGCTTCCCACCCGGAGCTTCTGTTGCCATGTGGGGTGAGCAATTAAATTTATTTAATTAAATAGAATAATTTTTGCCGAAGGAATTTCATCTATTCACCCCCTTCGGTTGCTCGTGGACTGGCGAAAGAATTAATACCGGGCGGTCGACCGGGGAAAATAGACGAAACTCCCCATAATTGCTTATTCCTCAGGTGCTTGGTGTGGCTTCTGTGCCGGATCTCGGCAGCAAATCCACTTCACTGGACCATAAAGCAGATTAAAATGATTGTGTGTACCATTTAAATAATTTCAATTTAACTTTCACTGTCCAATTTATACCGCCACTATGAAATAGTTATTGTACTCCGGCGAGGCGCAAGTGCTTCGAGTTAAAATTTTATTTGCACTGTGTGTATTAAGGCTTCCACAGAATCCCATCGTCTCCTCCTTGCCGTAATCGCCCCGTGGATTTATCATACTTGGAAATGAAGGCAGAATTAAAGTCATAAATCTGTGATACATGGGTGAGAGAGCGGGAAAAAATTGGACCACATGTGCGCTCTCATCTCAGCATAAAATATTATATGGCAGCATGTACACTCGGACGAGAAAGAGACAGGGAGAGAGAGCGAAACATGGTCTTCAAAGGAAAAGCATCGGGTGAATGAGAGACTTTCATTTCATCAAAATCATCGATCTTTTCACTTTGACTCGGGCTGAGCTTTTTTACCTCTTCGAGTTCTCTTCCTTCACAGAATATATTTTCGTCTTATACCCACTTCCTCAGTGGTGGTATCATTTGAGCCACTCTTTGCCAGTGTATTGCACTTTCATTTTGACACTGAAAGGCCATTTGTACAAAGAGAAAATTAACGCCAAATGGGAGAATGAGCCGCGTGTGTGTGCCGAGTACAAATTACAGTCCATTCGTTTGCAATGAACTCTGTTGACTCTCCGGGTGATAAAAATGTATACACAATGATGTGCTTCAGTTCGGAATATCAAATGCTGAATTGCCAATGGGGTTTGGCTAATGCTCCTACCGGAGGTCCATAATTTCGCTTAAATTTCATTTCAATTCATAAATTTGCTAGAGACACGTTTTCAATTTCAATCAGCAGCCACTCAACTCGAGTATAACACCTCAATTGGAGTGTCGACCCGTGGATGATACAAATAAATTACCAAATTCAATTTGAACCCATTTTTTGTGCAAGTGATTTTGAAATTAATTGAATTTCTCCTATTAACATAACCACTATGATTTCTTTTTCAGCATTCGACCCCTACAAGAGCGAGAGAGAGGAAATCAAAGTGTTTTTCATCAACCTAATATCACAATGATCAACAGTATCGTTTTACGCCACGCTGTCATGTCATAGATTTCTCTTTTCACTGAAATTATCTGGATAAAAAATCAATAAAGAAATACAAAGTAAGAATACAACGTTCAAAGCTGAAAAGAAATGATGAGAAGAAGAAGAGTTCAAGACATGGCGTATTGTTCAATGAGTTGAAATAACACAAGAGAACTTTTCAGCGAATAAGAGTTTCTGAGTTATAGTTATTGAATTAATAAGTTTGCCAAAGAACATATTGAGAATTGTAGTATGCATATCTAATGGTATATTTTGGTTTTGTTTTATGGGAATTTTTGAATATTCAACTTAAACATGAACTAGTAAATGAAATGTCCTTCTCTGGAAGCTTATCGTTCTTCGGGAAGTGATAAAATTGACTATTGACCTCTCTTGTAGACACTCGGAGATGAAGCAATAAAAGAATTGAGGTTCCAAATAAAAAGAAACATGATCAACTTGATCATGATCTTTTCCCAATCTCTCACCACACTATTGCGCACAAAGACAACAAAGAGCATGTTTTTCTCAATGGAGCAGATTTTTCCTGGTGGAACACCACCATCGTCTGAGCACTTAAAATCACGTTTAGATGCCTCTTTAAGAGTAAATGGTGGTAAATGTGTGTGCCTCGTACGTGAAGGTTATACGGTGATCTAGCGAGCTGAGAGTTGCCATGTATTTACCTGTTCAGTGGAATTCTCATACATTCACCCAGGCAAATACCTCGCAGTACAGAGGAGGTGATTTAAATTTCTCAATTTTCATTTGCACCTGCATAAATACTCTCCACATCCTGCAAAGGATGTCTGAAGTGGGGCGTTGCAGTCTTATTTAGTGGGTGTGATGGGCAGAAAAAGTAAAGTGGGTTAAAGATTGTGTACGGGAATTCTGCGATTCCATGAAAGTTTTCTTCATCCACCACTTCTTCACGTGAGATCACACATCAACGAATATAGGTGTGAGACGAAGACATACACTGGCAGATCGAGTGCTGCCTCAAGACATCCCATCGAGAGACCATTTAGTGTTGGTTCGACGATTGCTGGGTGACTTTGTGGCCAAGAGTTGTGTCAATTGCGGGAAGATTCCACTACAAATTGCTCACAATTTGTATTCAAAATGTGATCAAAGTGTTGGAAAATCCCAGGAAAAAATACATTGATGAGTTGATAGCAAGTGAAATTCTATGGAAAAGCGGAAAACGTGAAAATTTCGCAGTGCACTTCTCTGTCTATAGTGAGATATTGCTGGAAAAATACGTCTGGTGTTGATTAGTCAGTGAGAAAAATTCATTAAGTGTGGATCTGGTATGGTGGCTCAGCGCTGAAACCGGAAAAAACGAACACTTCAGCATTTCACGGATTCAGTGACGGAGTTATAGGGACTCTCGGTGATTACACCTGTGAAAAATTGTTTATTCTGACGGGATGAGAATTGAATGAATGTGCAGTAGCTCATCTCTGCAGAACAGCCTTGCAGCTCTGTGTCTCTCTGTCCACCACGGAGAGTGTATTTTAACAATAAGAACACAACAAAAGGTGAAAAAGAGAAATCGACTAACGGTGAACGGAAAGCCAGACATCATTATATGAATAACAAACCCGTGGTACTTATGTTCACGCCAATGTCACCTGACTGTCTCCAGCTTCCCTGAGTCTCTCCCCGGTGAGGATGGGAGGAAAGTAAGGATAAGGTGGAGTGTTGTCTCAATTCATGTGTTCCAGTGTGCCTCGAGAGTTTGGTGAAGTGTGCGATTTTGCCTCCCGCAGTTGGAGCATGAAAGAGTGGCAATTTATGTGACTCTGGAGGATTAATTGTGCCGGGCAGCAGCAGAATGTGCGCAAGAGGTCATGCAAATAGTGCAAACGATGAGACAAGTGCAACAGCCGCCTCTTGGATCTCAATTGGATAGTCAAGTCAGGCTTCCGCAGTGGCCACGGAGGCTCAAGTCAGTCATGGTCACTGGATCTCTAGCGAGCCGAGGACAGCGGATGGCCATCGCCATCCTCCTCCTGGTACTGTGCATCAAAGCAGGCAAGTGGAATCTGAGTCTCTCGGGCCTGACTGGCAATTTAATTAAGAATTTGACACGGTTTTTAATTAAACCACCTCAGCAATATTCGAGATTTATACCGCTCTCTCAACTCAATGACCGCAAATGTGTAGCGGAGCTTTTTTATTCTTCTTTCATCTCTCTCGCCGTACGTCTCGATACAAGTCTCTCTCTCTTACGCAGAAGACATTTCAACGTCGCCACACACAAGATAATCCTATAGATTGACTTTTCTTCACCAATTGCCAAAGAGATTGCTTCCATGCAATTTTCTCTTTTAGCAAAGTCAATGAGCACGAGACACAACGCAATAGCACGAAATACTGAACAGTTGTGAACAGAAGTTTAGACACATCGCGGTGTATTCTCGCAAAATATTCTAGATGAAAAGATTACATTGTTATTCTATGTTAAATCCCGTCTAATGCTGCGATAATCTGGGAAATAATGTTATTTCTTTAACGTGTCGCGAAATCTTTGATTTTTGCATAAATGTGTATGAATATTACTTTCGTTTTCTGTATATTTGAATTGATATTTCATTCAATATATGACAGCTTTGATTCTATAATGGTAAAATGGATATACAGAGCTTCTTCTGGAATACAGGAATTTATAGCAAAAGCTCAATAAGTCTCTATGACATGTTCATAAAAATAACATGACGGTTCTGGAAAATGTTGCAAAACCAGAATTGGATAAATAGAGAGAATGCTGTTTAATTTATTTAGCGAATAGATCTTGTCACATAGTGATGCTTTCTTGTCATTGTCATCAACATACAAATCACATAATGTCACGAACACTCCCCAAAGGAAGACCCTGAAGCTTCTTATAGCTGTTATAGCTTAATCCACTCTAGCGATGGTGTTAAAAAATGCAAAATGCCTCGCGCAGATCCGGGAACTTTAACCGGATAATTATGTAAGGTTGTGAAATGCCCCTGCAACACTCTCCGCCAGCGACAAAAATACCACGCTTCCACAACAATTTTTCAGTCTGAACAAAGACATGCTTAGAGGCAACCGGAAATTCTCGCTGAGCGCACAAAATTGCAAGGAGAAATTGTTCAATTTTAATTTGAAAGCGAATTAATTAATCTACACTGAACTCCGCCAGTGTGAACTTGCGTCTTCGTGAACCGCCCAAGTAATTGATGCACACAGCTCGAGAGGCGGTGAAATGGCAGGAAAACGAAAGTTGCCATGTCGCAATTTTGCCAATACAGAGATATTTCACAAAAGCACACCTCAAAATCTCATCTTTTTGCCTTCTTTTTCCCACCTTCGAGCGCACCAAAATTTCCAGGCAATTTATTGAAATCGAGTTCCAAGCCAGTGACGACATACGCGACCACACAAAAAGTCAACAACTGAAAATTATGAGACGCTGCGAGTGCTGATTAGTACGTGGAGAAGTGGAAGAATAAACTTCGGTATAAGCAACTTAATACTTTGGACTCTCCATGGGTGTGTTTGCTCGGCGCGAATATTTGCGAGAAAACGAAATCAATAATAGGAAAAAATTTCAGCACTCAATCAGTGTGATCTGTCTGGTTCGGCACTCAAGGATAAATGGCTGCAGACGGATCTATAAAATTCAATATTTTACTACCTCTTAAAATGTTATGTTGCAGTGCTCAATAGTCAATTATTCGTGACGTGGGGAGTCAGATACAATCGCCGGGGCGAAAATTCCCACATGTAATCTATGTGGCATTTACGCCAATTTAATATGCTGTATTTTAATGGCAAAACAGCAGATAGGAAAGAAAAATTGCAGCATGTCTGTGCAGTGCAAATAATCAGTAATCTCGCCGCAGTGATGGGAAAAAGCATTACAACCCGTACTCTGACTTGATTAATGCCGCATTTCAGTGTAACATGAATTTTCACACAGAGTTCCAGCTCGATAATACGTTTTTTTCACTGGTTTGTTATCTCACAGTCATCTTCTGTGTCAATGTCATAATCATGGTCTATTGAAAAATAGTTTTTTGTTTTACAAAATAATTATTTCAGTGCGCTTTTGATGCACTTTGACTCATTCCTCTATTAAATCGTGCACTCAGAGAAGATGTTTTTATCAAAATAAATGGCTGCTGAACGGATTTAATTTGTGTGTACAGAATAAGACATTGCCACATTTCCTGGGAAAAACACATTTATCAAAAGAGTACCAAAAAGTTCATTATTTTCTTGCGTTCTCAGAAATTAAGTGTGAAAAAGTCAAGAGAAGCCAAGAGAGAAGCTTAAATTAATCATTTCCTTGATGTTGGAGTTGTTTTTTTTATCTGTAGATACATACTTTATAAGATCTTTTTTACCACTTGAATTGCTAAATATAATTTTAAATAGTGACGTCAAATGGAAGTTTCTTGCTCACGTTTAGTTTTTTTTTTAATCTTCTTTGTAAATCTCCCTTGAAATGCAATGTAGAACATTACTAATTACTCAAAACCCACTGAAAAGAATGCATTCATAATTTGGTGTCACATGAAATTTGGAGCATTTAATGAATTTGGCACGGATCTTTGCTTCTTGTTAGTCAAAATACACGGAATATAAAATTTTGCGTTACAAATTAAACTGCTTTATTCATGAATCACGGCATTTGGTTTTCAACATATTCTCTTTATGTATACATAGATTTTATGATTGATTTCGTAATGCGGGGAATTTCTGGCCTTTGATGTAAAATCCAGTTTAGCTTTAGCTGAAACATCTCTAATCCACCACAGACACACGAGAAATTTCAGAGAGAGAGAGGCTCGCGGTATTCCAAATGTACATGTCCGTGTATAGTTAATTAAAATAGCTGTAGTACAGATTGGTCACCGAAAAATGTAGTGTGAGAGAACATTTGACCATCATTCAATCAATGTTCGTTTTTGCATTTCAGGACAATGTCAGCTCAATTCACCCCCAATTATGACGGTGGACCGGAATTGGCGGATTTTCGACACCCACGAGGTGGGCTCGTTTGTCACCCAAGTACATGCTGTGGACGACGAAAATGACCCTCTCGAGTTCGGCCTAGAGCCGTGGAATGGCAATTTCGGTACGTCCGCGGTCGCTGAGGGGCGAATGCCGTTCCGCATTGACTCCCAAACGGGCATTGTGTACTTGAACGAGTCCCTGGAAGGCTGGGCAGGGCAGAACTTCTTCATCTACGTCACCGTGTCCGACGGACAGTTGACAGCCAAGAACGAGGTGTACGTGAATGTACTGAGCAAGAATGCGTCCAAGGGGAGCGATCTGTACAACCCCAGGCCGCCTGGCTTTACACCCAGCGCCAAGAACATCTCCAGCCTCTTCCCACCGTTTCACTCCCTACCCGGCGTGCCCAGTGCAGCCGGGAAGCTGCCCCAGCCACCCAATGGGTATGCCTACGTCAATGAGCCCCACTTCAGTCCGCCCACAGGCTCTCCCGCGGACGGGAAGGCGCCGACAGGAGGAAGTTCGGGTCACAAGACCGTGTTGAGGCCCATTGAGGGCACAACGAAGAATCTCACTCAATACCATGTGATATCTGAGAATGGGGACGCCGCGGCGAAGGGCGAGGATGCAACAGGTACTGCAGACAGTGTCCCTATTGGAACAGTGGTGCCCATCGTCCTCACAATAGGCGGCATTTTCCTCGTGGCGGCCATTGTGGCGCTGCTGATTTTCCGGAAACACGTGTGTGCTTTTGGGAAGTCGCTGAAGAAGAAGAGCAAGGAGGAGATGGCAAAGAAGTCAAACCAAAGCAACGTTAGCAGCACTCTCACCGAGGACAGTCGCAACTCGATGGTGCTGCATCACTGGAACGGGCCGATGGCGTTCAACAATCGCTACGTGCCGTGGGAGCGGGACAATCAGCACTCGCAGGCCACGTCGCAGCTGAGCAATCTCTCCCAGGAGTCTCAGATCACCAAAGATCCTTGGGACTTCCCGCGACACCGTCTCAAGTTCTTCAATATCATCGGCGAGGGAGCGTTTGGGCAAGTGTGGCGATGCGAAGCGGCCCACATTGATGGCAAGGATGGCCTCACAACAGTCGCCGTGAAGACCCTCAAGGAGAATGCCACAGAAGTGGAGAAGCACGATCTTCTCTCAGAATTGACGGTGAGTTATTATGGAGATATTATTCTTGACGAGGGATTACCTTATTTGCGCGTACGTCGTTTGGCACAAATATAATTTGTCCACCAAATTTATAATTTACAAATTATAAAATATTACTTGCTTAGCGGTGCAGATAAATCCCTTTTCCTCAAATCCACCTTCACATTAGCTGGGAAAGTATCTATGTGGGCCACATTATGTGAGATACCTTTTCATTAAGTCCTACATTACTGGGTCTCCTGAGTGAAATGAGAATGCCAAATGACCAGAAATGTCCCTCGGGTTGGGGTGGAAGCACTCAATGTGGAAGAGCAGGAATTTTGAAATAGGCCCATTGATGGCGGAGGGTTGGGTGCTTTTTGTGAAATCCACTCAGCAAATGTTCTTTTCTCACCAGGTAATGAAGAGTCTGGAGCCCCACATAAATGTTGTAAGACTGCTGGGTTGCTGCACGGAGAAAGAGCCAATCTTTGTGATCTTAGAATATGTGAACAAAGGAAAATTACAGACGTACCTGAGAAATTCTCGAGCAGAAAAGTGAGTGGCAATTTAACAAATTCATTTCAGCCATTTAATTGGTCTCATGGTCTTTCTCGCATTCTTTCCCGTAGACACTATGGCAATACACATGGCAAATCCAACATTCTCACGTCGGGAGATTTGACGTCGTTCATGTATCAAGTGGCCAGAGGAATGGACTTTTTGTCCTCACGCGGGGTAAAAGCCATCAACACCAGCGCGCGCCCAATGCAGAATTTTCATTGCAATTTCCTCTATCTTTCCCTCCTCCCAGATTATCCATCGTGACTTGGCTGCCCGGAATATTCTCATAACTGACGAGCACACCTGTAAAGTGGCAGACTTTGGCTTCGCCAGGGACGTGGTGACGTCAAAGATCTACGAACGAAAGAGCGAAGGCAAATTGCCCATTAGGTAAAATGACTTTCCTGTTGGACCACTTTTACGCTTTAATGAGTTTTGCGAACGCGCTCTCGGAGCAATAATTTCACATGATACTGAGGGAATTTTGATGAGTTTTGCGTGTATATGTGTCCACTTGTCGACGCAAAATCTACAATATTTGTATTAAATTAATTACAATTTTGGGATAAAATTGCAGTGAACATTTGTGGGCTGTCAATGTGATGCCAATATAGAATGGGTTGGGAGAAATTTAATTTAATTAAAACTTGTTCTGTAATGTCGGACATTTAATGGCAAATTCGAAAACAAAACATTGTGGAAACCGTGGATGCAGTGGAAAAAAATGTTATGTTTACTATTTGATTTGCTCAACGAATTTCGTATCACAATGTTTGAAGTACTAAAGCTTCCGGCATTAAGCATTACTCTGAAATTCGACATCACGAAGTAGATTACTTTCCCACGTGCAACTTTATGCAAACAGAGTAAATAAATAGTTGTATCCTTATTCGTTTATATTTGACGATGGTTTAGGTTTTCGTGGTGAAGTCACAAAATCTCCCCCTGAAATGGCATCCCTGGGAAAATTGAAACTCCCGGAATGAGGGTGACTTTGGACTTATCTTATTATTCCCGCCTCGGATTTCAAGCACAAAACTCAGAGAAAGTGTAGGAGAAAAGGGGAGATAGTACGGGAATGAAATGTAAAAGTAATACTTGAGTGCTGGAGTGTGAGGTTGTATGTTCGGTAAATCTTTGGTTTTTTATTGTTTGACTCACATTTTTTGCTCCTCGAATGACGATGGACAAAAGGTGAAGTGGCAGAGAAGAGTGAAAAACTCAATTTAAGTTGAGAGCTGAAGACATGAGGGTGTGGGGTGAAAAGTGACGAGGAAGGAAAAACACGTATAAACATAAGTGGAGAAATGAAATCATTTAGAAAGAATGAGCAAACAGTTTACGATAACAGATTTCATTGGAGACTAGAAGAGAGTGAGATTCAATTTGAGTTCTCATGTGAATGCGATTGGGATGATGAGACTTTGGGGGTTTCGCTATACAATCAGGATGTTTATGGATGGATGGAAGGGTCTGCTTTTTCATGCTGTAATTTCATTTTCAAGAAAAATCCCTGGTATTCCTATTCTCTTCCTGCAGATGGATGGCCATCGAGTCACTGTACGACAATATCTTCTCTGTTAAATCCGATATTTGGAGCTTTGGGATACTCATGTGGGAGATTGTGACCCTGGGATCGACCCCATACCCAGGCATTGCAGCAGCCGAAGTTATGCGTCAGGTAGACGTGAATCGTGAGCTCAGCACGTAACATAGTAACTGACAAATGCAATATTTTCCCTCCAGGTACGTGACGGCTATCGCCTGGAGAAGCCAGAGCATTGTCGTCGAGAGCTGTACAACATTATGTACTACTGCTGGGCCAAGGATCCCAACGAACGACCAACTTTCTCCGAACTGGTCGTTCTCCTCGATAAGCTGCTCCTCACCGAGACAGACTATATCGAATTAGAGCGATTTCCCGATCACAATTACTACAATATGCTGAGTCTGAGTGGTGAAAAGCTATAATTGTCCTCTTTATGGCCCTCCGAAAAACATCTCCCAACTGTTTTTGTGTACATTAAGCAAGCAAGAAGGGAACATAAACACCAAATTAATTGGGATCATGTTTCTCATTATACTCAAAGAAGACTCGGCAGAGTGTGTTTGGAGACGAAGAGGATAAGAAGTTTTTCAATTTGATAACATAGCATTCTCGAATTAGCAATACTTTTGCTGCATTGTAATTTATTCAGTGTAAAAACTATATTGTAAATTGCTGTATATTAGTTTGAACATTGATTTGTGAAGAAACTTTAGTTGTTTCATTTTCTGGCTGATTTATTGAGTCAATTTTTAACTCATTAGAGACCAATTTCCGGAAAATTAGATTGAAATTGCACACGCATATTTTATGTGAATATATTGTCATCGATACGATTCAAATGGATTCATTTGTGCAGAAAAATTAACACTGTTTGGTAAAGTATTATGTGGCATTTCTCTAAATTATTTGATTACTTCATAGTTAAAAATTGGTAAGTAGAGCGAATCGATAAATCCATGAAATAGTACAATTGAAATAGGCTAACGTGTCTGATTCTATATACAAATGCTTGTATAAATGTCAATATTGAAGTGCGAAAGGCCAAAGTCTTTACGGTTTCCTCACGTGTGGAACAAAGCCAACAGTGGCTGTAAAATGATGAATAGGTGTCAAGGGAGGATTTTGTATGGTGTTTCCTGATGGGAAATATCATTTATCTTGTGTCTATTTTCACACTGAGGGAGAAGAAATTCCGTCATCAAATATTTCATTAAATACTCCTGTCCAGTTCCAATGGCGACAACGTCTCATGGGGCGTAAATGATTTTCTTTTTCCCGATTTGAGAAATTATTTGCGGATAGACAGAGCCGAAAAGACTCGATTGCGATCAACATGAATTTAATATGATTGAGCAGATTTGTGGAGGAAATTGAGTGTATTGACCAAGTCATGCGGTAAAAATGTGCCAGAAGAGAGAAAGCCAAGCGAGGCGAGCGTTGAGGGCAAGTGGGATCCTGTTGCCTCAGGGACTTTGGCGGTAGTTGTACGGGAGTAAACCATATGTGCATATAAAACTTATTTATTCACGCCACTTTTCCTTCCTCCGACATCCATCCCCCAGTGTTGCCATTCATCTAGCGTCTCAGACAGCAAAGCACCCTGCATCTAGTGTATTATTCATTGTAAGATGACGTGGACGGAGATCGGTAGATGAGGGCGAAATTCAAGCTAATTAGTTGTCTTTTCTGTTTTATGGCCAGGGGGGACAAAGAAGGCAAAATTGTGCAAAACTTTCAAGACACACAGAGGGTAACGAGCTTTTCCTCCTAAAGAGCCACATCCAACTTCAATATTTCACATTGTTGAGTGGCTTGCAATTTTTCGCTCAACAACCAGAAGAATGGTTTTCGTCTGACTTTTTTCCATTCTCCACTCGGGCCTCGCTCCTTCTCTACAGCCTGAGAAAACAGACAGAAGATGGTGAATAAGAGGAAAAAAGATGTAATGTGAAATATTCCCAGAAGTAATTAAGATTGTTACACAAGGCAACAATTTTTTCTCCTTGCCATATTCCACCCTTGTCCTTTCACGAGCTTCACATTTCTCTCTTCAAAACCGTTATATTATTGAGGAGAAGACATCGTGTTCTGTAAACTTTTGTACTATGTCCTTAATTTTCTCGTTGATGTTATATGAAGAGAGACGTTTTTCTTCTCCTGCTGCTTGTTTTAGAAATGCTCCATTATGCATGACGATGTTAATAATTTCAGTTCACTTTCTTCCTAATATCTAGTCCTACAATCCTTATTCTCCACGGCTTGAAGTGCATTGTCTGTAAGTTAAATCCATTCAAACGACCCGGAGTCTGGCATACCGAAAAATCTGGGTGGGTGGAATAAATGGCGCCATGTACACTTGTTTGTTCGTCGTTTTTCATTGTCTTGTATCCCTCCGTTCCGTCCCACCCTGTGTTGGCACTCAGCATCATAAACACTGCATGTGGGTCATTCTGGAACATAAACAGCCTCCGAGAGACGTGCATCCTTGATAATGATTGTATAGTGACGACGACACTCTGGAAAGGACGAGGTGAGCATGAATTGTGCTCTAAATTGGAGAACATCTGCAGCTAGGCCAATTGTGTCCTAGAACAATTCTTTTTCTCAATGCCTCGGTCTTGCACATATTACACAATTAAATGGTTCATGGCAGAAAAGGAGGGGAAATGTAGAAAGTATTAAGTTGTGGGACATTCTTTGTTCATATTTATCCAGAGAAGTGCTTTGTGACTCTCCTTGCTAGTCAGCATCCTATTTCTTAACAAATATGTATGTTCATATGTATGTAGAGTTGGTTGTGTTTTACACGTTTACTTTCTGAGTCAATGGAAATAAACTACTGAATAGAAAATATATTCCAGGTTTGTTTGTAATCCCGCAAAGTAGTCTTGTATTATTGATAAATTCTGTATATTCGAGGAAAATCTCTAAAAGTGGGTCATTGTTGCTGTTCATCGTAATATTTCAATGCGAAATATTTGCAAAATCGCTCAATATTTATTTAAGGTAATGCAATTTCATATGCGTTATATATTTACCTACATATATATATATATGCATTTTGATCCAAAAATAAATTTATCTCAGCACCAAAAATGTGGTTATACAATATTCCAGAGCGATAGTATAAACTTTATTTCCCAACTTTCTTCCAGAGTCTTAAACAATTTCAATGATACATCTTATGAGTTCTGACAATTTCGCAATGGGATTCAAGATGTTTGAATAACGCATAATAACATAATATTTGCGGTTGAAAGAAGTAGCTAAAAATGTACATGGGAGAAAAATTATGTGAGAACACGAATGCCCTACATATCTTACCAGTATTTACTATGTTTGGAGAGTCTTAGCTGGGGCTTTTCCCATGGATTTTCTCCGCAAATGCGTTAGAAAAACACCACGCTGGGTTTATTTACCAATAACACACAGTGCCACTGTATATATAGTGTTTCTTTGCGTTCACGCTTTTTGTTCTTTTTATTTTAATTTACTCCGTATGTTTGTATGCTCAAATATACAAAAGCACATAAAATGCTGTGATATCATATTAAATGTACATAAACATGGAATTCGTCAAGGGTGAAAAGGTATCTACAAATTATTTGCGTATATGTACACACATTCGTGTCGAAATAGGTGTGAAATTGTGTGACCTGATCCACGAATTTCGATGAAATAAATTGAGGATGAAAGGTAACATGGAGCAATTTTATCTCTTTCGACGCATACGAAATTTTGAATCTCTGCTTTTATTACACACTCACTTGATCTATTTTATATTCTTTTTGGGCACACTCTAAAGCGATTGCATTGGAATCAGAACCTTGATGTGGCTAAAATAAAATCAATTTCGCATTGAAAGTTTTACGACGATTGCCAGAAAATCGATACAGAATATATGATAGAAACGTTTGGTCCTAAGTAAGAATTCATCTCGAATTGTCGTTGGAAAAGCTTCGAAATTCAACTGAGATATGAGCATTTTATTTCTATACCAAATGATTTTCATATACTGCACAATACTGATGAATTTCGGTATTGTCCATTGCTTTATCATTGAGTTGTATAAGCAAATGTATAGTTGTCGATTTACATACATCAACTACCAGTTTACTATGCAAATTCATTTTCGAATTCGACAATACATAACACCATTTAAAATTGTACGAGGTTTACGGAAAATTTAGTGGCTGAATATTAATTGGCATCTGAAATTCCCTCTAATAAATGGGACGCACATCGTCGTGGTTTGATTAAGGAGGGATGATGAGGATCATAAATGAGTCGAAACTGCCCCCAAATGCCAACACCGTTCACCCATGAACTATGAAGCGATGCTATAGAATCTGATTGTGTGCGGTGAAGTGGAGTGAGACAACTTTTCGCATATGACCCACAAGGACCAAACTAAATATTCGGGCTTGCTTTGTGCACAAGACAGGGTAAGTCAGAAGGGTTCCCCTCTTAGTATTCCAGAGTGATATAAATTCAGTGTGGATTACACAATGTGTGAAGTGTTAACACACTGGTGCAGACATTAATTAGAGTGTTGTGAAGTTGGTCCGGCACTTTTTCCTTGCTCCAAACAATTTTACTCGCTTTTCTGGACAAGCACCCTTCGACATGATCACATTGGATGGGTGAATGAGTTGAAATAAAAGCAGTGTAGTGGAAAATGGAAATTACTATATAGTCTCGATAAATTTCCCTACACTGCCGTACATACGTATATATATGTACCCACCGACTCCTTATTTCTCGGAAAGCGAACCCCAGGAAACACCCCTTTTGGTCGTTCCAATTCCACTTGTGCAAAACATTTGGCGTTGGACATTGATGCTTGAGCATCATTTAACATTATGGGATTAAATTGTATCATATCTTGGCTCATGTGAAATGGGTTTTTCAATATGGATCACAGATGAAGAGATGATAGTGTCGAAGCAGCCAGGATTTCTGCCAAATATGTGTTTCTTGATCTGATTTTGCTCCATCCATAAACAGAGGGAATTCCTCTTTGCCATCTCTTCTGCACTCTCCTCTTCCCTCCGGCCATCATGATGTTGATACTCCACTATTTTGCTAGTCACTTTCGCAGCAAGAACATGCAGGGCGGGGATTCTGGGGAGAACGAATTACTCCAATCACTAGATGAACACATGCACCAGACGCGTCTATGCATAGTTATTGGTGATATTGACACACGTGGGAGAGAAAATTATTCTGCAATTTCACAGTTCCAAGCTTGAAAACACATTGATTGTACTCAGAGCCGAAAATAAATTAATAACCTACAACACAATATTCCGAAGCGTAAACATCCTTGCTAAACACTTTCCCATTAAGGGTTTGGCAGGTTATTACCTCCAAAGTATTTCTTTCACCAAAATTAAAATGCATTGTGTCCCCTGAATAGAATATATTCGATGCTCTTCCTGGAAAAGTTCATTCCAACTCTAAAAATGAAAATGGCTAGGGATAAATCCGCGCTGAAATATGAAGTGCCCTCCATATTTCACTTCTCTCTCTCTCTCCATGTTGAAAATATAAATTTTCAGTTATTGTCTTATTGCTCATGAGCACAATCGATGAGAGCAAAAAAAGGCTGCAGATGCATTATTCATTTTTATGAACTAAGAGCAATTTTTACTTTGAGCATCTCTATGAATTACCACATTGGAATGTATGAAGTATATATCACTAAAAGTGAGGTCGAAAAGTTTCTGCAATTCACTCTTGAGCTTCCAACATCCCCATTCAGTATGTTACATAAATTTCACGATAAGTTTTTGGTAAAAAGTTCATGAACACGTATGA